TTCGTAATCAGCATTCGAGGCTCTATCGATGTACCCAGGTCTCCATTCAAAGTTCCATGGGAAGCTCAAACCATTCCTTGTGAGAGCCTTCCCTCAAAAGCAAGTCGCTTCTCTCCAATGGCCAAATACACCCCCCCCCCCTCACTGGAGATCCCTAACGTTCGTACGTGCCCTGCCCGTAATACCCTTCATCCTCTCTGGTCTTCCCTTGAAATGAGTTTATTTTGCCATGTTTCAGAAAGAATACGCGTTCAAAAATACATCCACTGGCTTTGGCTCCACGTCCAACTGATCGAGGAGGACGTACAAATGAAATGATTGGAGATATCGCTAAAGAGCAAGCTTGTGGGTGTTAATGTTGACTCTGCTCCTCGTTGTAATTATCTCTTGATTTACCTCGTAATTACAACTTGAAACAATAAGTCAATTGATAGATGCCACATTTCTTTCCAAATATTTGAAATCACAAAATTTTGGGGTAAACCTGCTGTGCTTCTGGAGCAATTAAACTCTGTTTTAGCCGCTCAGCGAGGGCGAGGAAGAGGAGGCGGTCCTGGAGGTTTCCATGCACAGCCATCTCATCAGCAGTATCAACAGAATCGTCAGCAACCCTATCAACAGAATTACCAGCAGCCCTTCCAGCAACCTTTCCAACAGCCGTTCCAGCAACCCTATCAACAACAGTATGTCTCGCGTGAGCAAATGGTAAGCAAAATTTGAAATTGTTACGTAGTACTTATATTTATTTGATTAGTTTGTTGGTGTCAGTTGTCGTACAACGTAGAAACAAAATATGTAGCCGCTCTGGTCTTTGTCTCACACGAAATCACTGCATTGTCTCCACCCCCGCCCTCTCTAAATCATACTGGGTTCTCATCGTTTTTGGGTATTTGCAATGTTGTTTCATATCACAGACTTCCAACGCCCTCCTCTTGACCACACTGCTTCCTCTTTGGTCGTTCACTGTTCTTTTCGGTCTTATTTTTGTCAAAGTGTGGCAGAATAGGAGAGGCACTTAGTAGGTATTGGCAGCTGACAGAGAGAAGGACAAGACAATCGTATTGGTCGATTCACACGGCGATCGTGCGACGGTACGCGGTATGTCCTCAATGTGCACCACTTTTCTCTTGAAGAAGCGAAATTCAAAAGACGAGGCTTCATAACTTCCGATATTATATTTTTCGTTTTTTTTCTTCACTCTCAACTCTCAGGCTCAAACGACCGGGCAAGGTAACTCCTCTGTCAGGCGCACATCGCTTAGCCACGTCCGCTAGCGGAGCGTATATTACGATGTGTTTTGATAACATCTCTTTTGACAGAAAAAGCTCCTTGCGATGGATTTTATCCTGCAGTCAGTTGTTGGCATAGCTAACATCAAGTCTTAATCGTTGAAAATGCTTCTCTCTTTATGAAATCTCGGCATTATTGTGAGCTTTTAAGTTTTGTAATTTATTCTTCCAGAGAGCGTTGAGCTGTGGTGCTTTATAAACACAAGGAGGCTCGTTCAGAGGCGTGCTCCGGGCTTTTTCGAAACGGTTTAGTGCACTTTGTAGGGCCTTGCCCATGAACCGTAAAAGTGGGCTTCGTTTTTGCTGTGCGGCCCCTGGAATGCCAAAAAAGGAGCGAAAAGAAACCTATAGAAACTGATTGTTTTTGAGCCTCTACGAGCTGTAAACCGCTTGAAACTTTGACCAGTTGCTGAATGGAGGGACCCTATAAAGGTGCTATCGGAAAAGAGAAAAGTAGTTGGGGTATGGGGTCTTACTTGTGGCACGTAATCAAGCGTGAACGGCTTCATGGAATGGTTTCTTCAACGATCGGAGGAACGTTCAGCATCAACGATCGGATGGCCTAGTGGATAGCGTGAAGGATTCTCAAGCGGACAGTTGGGGTGGGGTTGATGGTTCAACTCCCCTCGGCGTGCGAGTTTTTGCATTTTTTATGTTTTGCTGTTTTCGCGTTCAAATATGTCTGTGCGTAAGTATGCATATGCCATTTATGGGCACATTTTAAATGGGAACACTCCATGAATCAGTGCTATTCAATTATTACAGGTTTTACATACCATTAAGCAAGACCGTAATTGAAAGTTGACCTTTATAGGTCAGACCATGCCCGAATCACGAATATGGAACTTATTTGTAGCTACGGTGCCATTTATCGCTAATATGGAGTGACATGTTTCTCCCAATGAATGCGTTTGCTACACACAAGTAAGGGATGTGTAGCGCTACCCAGGCGCGACCAAATGACGTCGGCGCCGAACATAAGTGTGAAAATCATGATCGGGGCCATCGATTACCCCTGTAAACAATCTTTCGGCCAAAAAATTTTTTCGACTTTTTTGGGTGTGTGCGTTGGGTTGTGCCCGACAGTCTTTCTATAGAAGTCTACAGTGCCTCGCCAAAGGGACCCCCTATTTTATTAAATGCCTCAAGATAAAAGTAACAATGCCGATGAAATACATGCAAAGAGGAAGGAAAGGGAGGCATTCCACCAGGTTTGCTGTCCTGCCCGGCGGCCTGCTACGTCGTCGTTTCGTCATCGTCTTTACGAAGATGGGATACTCCGGTCACTACTGCCGACCAGATGGTCCACCAAAACCCAAGAAATCGAAAAAAAAATTTTTGGCTGGAAGTCCGTCCATAAGGGTAATCGATGGTCCTGATTACGATTTTGACACTTATTTTCGAGGTCGACAAATTATGAGCGCAGTTTATAGCGCTTTAAAGTCCTTCATTACGCGGACGGTACATAGACGTAACTTTCACTCCTTTTTTGGCATTCCAGGAGCCGCACAGCAAAAACGAAGCCCACTTTTACGGTTCATGGGCAAGGTCCTACAAAGTGCAATAAACCGTTTTGAAAAAGCGGGGCACGCCCTGAACGACCTTCCTGGTTAGCGTGTTGTCTGATTTCTTGAGTTGTATTTATTCCCTCCGTAGAGTTGGAAGGTCTCCTTCAATCTCTTCGGGGTAGAATAAATTACAACTTAAACGTTAAAATGTGTGTATTTCAGGTCAGCCGAGAGTATCGTCGGATATCAGGACGGCTCGCGGAGGTGGCTACAGAAGAGGGTGGCGCGGTGGTGGTCTTATGGTGGTGGAGGACGGTATGATCGTGGAGGATACTATGGTCATGACAACAGATACTGATTCAACCGTTGTTATTTTGTGCTCCTGTTTTTCTTGTGCAATTTAATTTATCGCTGCAACCAATTTTTACTTAAAATATTACGAAATCGATTGTCAAGCTCTATTTTTTGAATTTTTGTTATTAATGAAGTATTTCACTTTACACTCCATTTGCTGAGAACCTGTTTTTCTCTCCGTTTTTGGTATGTTAGGTAAATATCGAATTGTTTCGCTTGTGGTCATTTCTTCAAGTCTAGTTGATTTGTTAAATTGCGTTTGTTTTTTGTTCTTGTGGATGTTCAGATACCGATTTTTGTTTCGAAAATTGAAAGATTTTTGAATAAACGGCTTTATCCTATTTCTTCCTGAGTGATGGAGCATGGTTGTCTAACCGCTTATTACCTATCCGAAGTAGGTACTTGCATTCGATTCGAAGGGAGGTTCTCAACGTCTCCAGTTAACGACCTTGTTGGAATGATTCTCAGCGCAATCTGCATTTGCAGCTCCTTATCTGCGTAGATGAGTTGTTTTGGAGGCGGAGGGTTATAAGGATTCCGTTAATCGAACGCTCTTTTCGCTAGGCTTCAGAGCTGTTTTCCTTTTCCGATTTTCTGATGGGAGAAGTTTGAAGCCGATGAAAAAACAAGGAGAAGGGAGAAAGCAGAAAGGAAGAAAGGGGTATGAAAAAAGGAGGCAGGAGAGAGGCTCTCGCGACGCACTATCTGAGAAGGATGGGAAGCAGCCGACAGCGAGATATATAGATAAAATAAGTAGCTCAGGCGTCCAAATTACGCATCACAGGAAAATAAATGGATTGAGGTCTTTCCTGAATTGTTTAGTCGATACCTTTGTTTGCTCAGCTGAGTCTCGCATTGATGCGGGAGTGGAGTTCGTTAGTTTTCTGATGCAGGAGAGGAGCTAGCACCGTTCCTTACTTTGCCAACAGGTCAAGGTATCGGGGAATAAGACAGTATATCGCGAAGCTGGGCGAACCTTTGCCCGCCTGAGTTGGACCCATGCCTGTCTAAACCAGATTCCCTCGCTTCCAACGCTCGCTTTTTTTCTTGCCACGCTTTAACGTTTAGCGTTCGAATATCGTTCCATTTCGAATAAGGCCGCTCCCAAATCTCTTCCTCGGTTCTAGCTACTTTAAAAGGAACTTTCCGCAAGTCACGCTCTTCATAAGATGGCATTTGATGGAACAATGACATTTCCCATTAGCCTTAGCCTCTAAGAAAACTGTCGAAGGGAGAAGGCAGTCACGTAGTTCCTTCATGGGCCCGTCTTTTCGCCAAATGCGTAAAGCGTTACCCTAGTCGTAATTAGGTAGCCAGAAACTGGCACTACAAACATATGGGCCTGCTTGTGCTGACTCAATGAAATATGTGATGGAATTAGTAAACTTCTTGCTATATTTTCGACCAGGAGCCTCTTTTTTTCCAAAAAAAGTGTCCTTTGTGGTATTTGTCGGCACGATTGCGGTGCCAAAGCCAGTGTTTGTTCTTACTTTTTTGATCCATTAGATGCAGTGTTTCGGTAGAGCCCGTTGGGCTGCCACGTTGAATACTTTCCTTTCGCGTATCTGAGCTTAGCGGAGCAGCGCAGACGAGCGGAATCACGCCATATGATCTGGTGAAGCAGAGCATTCAGCGCTCTCACTTGCCTCCCCAGGAACTACTAGTTCTTTTTCGGATTTATCTGTGTCTTCCCTTATATAAGGTAACACAGTATCATGCTTTGTTGCTGTGACATTAAGTCCGGAGGACGATTCTCGTTCTGTTGTTTCTAGTGCCATATAGGCTGACTGGTTATCGCAGCGTCTAATTTGCCAGCAGATTTTTCTGAAGTGGCGTGGGTGGCTTTTTTACTACGGGCGATTGATATGAACTATTGAAAAAAACGTCCTAGGCAACAGATCATCAACGTTTTATGAGGCCACTTTATCAGCAGCATTTTTAAAGTGCGCTGGGAACGGCCGTCGATAAGGCATGATAATTTCATTCAATGAAATCACCTTTAACAGCTTTTTTAATGGCGAGAAGTTAACGATAGTGATAGGGACTAGTCTTTCGGCGTCTCAATGATCGTTAAGATGCATGGCCTTGGGCGGCAATTGACGGATCGCTTTTTCTCGATGCATTACATCAGAATTATTCAGTTTGTAGACATTCTGTGTCTTGAAGTGTGCTGAAAAGTAAGGTTTCGCAGTCGATCTTCCTTCCCTCATTGCTCAGCAATTCATTCTCTCTTACTGAGTGAAATATCTGCGGGAATTTATACTAGTAGTCATCACAAAAATTTGAAGTAGAATTTGAGCTGTCAGTAATTAGTCCAAGAAAGTTCTAAGCCCACTTACTTGAAATTTTGTGTGGTGGTTTGTGATTTGTCCAGTTGTTGAATCGGAGTCTTTGCCATGACACAAATCGAAAGCGCATTCCGCGATTAAAGTTCGTGAGTTTTTAGGTCCGCGTTTATCCTAGTAGCTGTTTGAGTTACTAGTGCAGAGAAAAGTAGACAACCCTGTTGAAGACTCCTTAACTGACACCTTACGATTGGACGAGTATTCGACCAAACGAGATGCTGCTGCGTGGGGGAGAGACCAGAGATAAAGAATGAGTGAATGGGAAGGCGGGAGGCCGTAGGTCGGTCCCGTACGTGATGATTGAACGCTCCGCATCTGTGTTTATAGGTATAGCGTCGCCGGCATATGTCATCCCCATATGTGTCAGGCACTTTCACGGGTGGCATTCCTTCGGCTTCTAACGGCCATAGCGCCTTCGTCACTCTTGTGGAGTTGTTAAAATGCAACGGCCTTTAAGACGACGAACCGAACTATCTGTACCAGGAGACCCAACGGATTTCGCGAAATATGTCTTTAAATCTAGTTTGGAGCAATCTCGCATTACGTCCATGGTCCTTAGGCTGCCACTTCTGCCTTTTGAAGCGTTTTCAAGTGCATGCATCCTCAAGACTGCGGTGCTAGCGCCACCATAAACCGTTTCACCATTGACGGAGATCTGAGACAACAAACTTTCATTTGTAGAGAACTTGTAGGGCTCGAGACGCTCTTTCCTCTTCTTCTTCATCCTAAGGTTGTTCCGCTGG